TTTTCATTTAAGCACAAACATTCTCGCCTGTGGTTTTTCTATATACCGAAGGATGAACGATTTAATAATCTTAAGTCGAGCTAGTAGCTCATCCTGTTATGCTAAAGCTGATGGAAACCTTTAAAATAAATAACTGCGCTTTAATTGGAAATCAGATGGTACCTGTTCGCTTACATAGAAACTCATTAGCGTGACTGCGTGGGACAAATAACAATAGCTATTCCATCAAGCGGGTTTGTAGCAAAGAATTTAAATGTCTGACAAGAAGAGCTTATTAACGTATCCATTTATCCGCAGGTACGGCCGGCGATTCTTTCTCCTTCCAGCGTGGTGCTCCTTTCTCAACTAAAGACCAGGACAATGATCCTGATAAACGTCACTGCGCTAGAACATTTAAGGGAGGCTGGTGGTACAGCTTGTGTCGCCAAGCAAACTTGAATGGTTTGTACCAGCCAGGGCCGCATTCATCTCATGCTGATGGTATTAATTGGTATCACTGGAAAGGAGACTACTATTCGGCCAGGAGATCGGAGATGAAAATAAGGCCTGTAGATTTTTGAGTCGGCTGCCATCATATCTGGAGTTATTATCTGATCATGAATAAAATCCATTGGATTGTATTTAAACCGTCTTCTTTATGTTTTCGTGTTCGTGTAACGTGGAAAAAAATTGCCGGCGATCTGTGGAGACTGCTTGAGAAAAGGACGTAGTCATGATCTGGAACTGCATCGCGCCCTCCCCTCCCCTCCCCTCCCTTGCTACATCTGAGGACTATAAGTGAACAAAGATATAGAGTGGGTTTACGTCCAGAGTCGGAAGTGATGGAGAGCCATATGTTGAATTTGCAGTCTATAAAACTCCCGCCACCTTCGAGATCGATCCGGTGCAACTAAGCTAGTCGTTACTTGGTCGCTCGCGTTTTCCTGCGCTTAAAGTGGTTTTCACTGACTTACTTTGACTACTCACTGACTCTTTGAGATATTCATTCAGTTTGGTTTTTATTGTCTTGGTTTTACAACTATGCGGTGTTACTCACCAAATTGTTTCAAACAAAATTAAAGGGCTGAGTTTAGGGATGCCGTTTTTGTGCCCTCCCAAAGAGCATTAATATTGCAGCCCAAAAAGTTTCGCAGGGAGAATGATATATTTGCTCAAGGAAAACAGATACATACAGTCCACAAGAGTTGAGCCGAGGTTTAATCCTACAACAGAGAGCTTCAATATCATGTTTTCAATCCATAGTGTTAAAGTTTTTGACTTTGTCAGTTTTTTTACGGGATAAAAATTGTACAATGTTTTATCGTCCAATAAATAATTGTTGTCTACAGAGGAATATCAAGGTTCCGGGCGAGCTCAAACACCGCTGAAAATATGGTACATTCACCTGTAAAACAGATAAGATGTAATCAAAAGAACATGAAATGTTCCCAAGGAAGCAAATTCTGTGCTTAACTCTTTACATCAATATGCATATTCTCCATACTGTTCTCTATACATTTCCTAAGGCGCTAAGAAAGAGAATTTATTCAACAATCAAGATTGTCTACAGTTGGTGATCATTTCCTTAAAGATGCTGGTCACTCTTGATCTCACACAACCGAAACATTTTTAGGGTAATTTCCTCTTACTACCAATTCAGGTTAGATTGGGTAATTTTTACGACAATTGAGAGAAACTTCCAAACCAGTCATATCGTGGACGTATGAATTAGAATAACTGCCTAAAAGCGTAATGGTACAGGATGCAGAAATCCCCAAAACTAATCGGACCAAAATTAAACAGAAAAAAGAGGTTTTCATTACAATAAATTTGTGAAAAAAAGATTCTTCGTAAGCCTGTTTTGCTCACGATTTTATACAGGAAGTCAACTAAGACAAGTTGCCCCTTATGAAACAGACCGCTTTAAACGGTACCTCTTCATTCAAGCGCCTTTTCTGAATCCGTGAACCTTATAATTGTATTTTTATCAACTCGCCTGTTCTTGGTGTTATTTCGTTCCACCGCCTCAAGGTTGAATTCACAATGGCAGCATGATTGGAACTCATGACCGAGCCGGCGGAAAGAGCTGGACGCGACGGCATCTCAGCCTGCTGGGTCGTGTTGTTCTGTATGTCGTGGAGAATGGGAACTGTAACTATTTGCTCTTCGCCTGTTGGGGATGACGGGATAGGCCTGCTAAGTTGTATCTACAGAAAACAAAAAGGGAAAGTTAAAGAAAGAATGAAAGAACGGTATAAGCCACTTTTAACATTCAAGAGAGTTTACTTTAAAATAACTACAACCCTTTTTTTCGTTTGCCGGGAAAGACAAAAACCAAAGAGATATGACAAAAATAAATACACGAATCAACAAAATAAATCAAGGGTGGTTTCTCCCGATTGTTGGACATCAATTGCAAATTCAAACGAGTTGTTGACTTCGTAAATAGGGCGATTGTGTTGTTAGATCCACTCAAGTTTCAAGACCGTAATATTTTTTCAAACTTTTAAACGCGGACCAAGGTAAATCAACTTACAAAGAACAACATTTTCCCTTTCAGGACCACTGCTGGGGTTCCGGGAGGCGCAATCTCAGGTCCGTTGGGGGGTATACTGAGGCACCATTCTACGCGCCATTTCAACACGTTTGGATCATGATTCTACGGAAAAAGGGTCCACACAACATCAGTTGGGTATTTTCAGTTCAGAAACACAAGCACAATTGTGCAACAGAATTTCGAGAGCTCCCAATTGGAGAGGGGCCTGTAACTTTCTTCTAAGTACTTGTGTAAGCTAAACAAGATCATTTGGATGAGTCTTGTACATTCAACTTAACCTCAAAAGATGAGAGTCCAAACCTTTTGGATTCGGATTTCAAGGGAAGTGAGGATGGTGAGATTTTTAGTCTACATTTCTTGCTTCAAAGATAACATTTTAACCTAATAAGTCGAAAGTAAGGACTTTTAATAGGAACTCACTGAGCAATTGGAGACCCGTGTAAGCTTGATGGTGGCACGGAAAAATTGAATAAAAAGAAACAGACGAAGCGCTTACCAGTTCCAATTTCATAATCTTGATACAGTCTCGGAGTATGTTGGCTGGAGCGCACAGAATTCGAGCGAACGCTGTTAAAGCACTGGTCTTGTAAGGAGGACAGGCCACCTGAAGGAAAGACAACAAACGCAAATTCAATTTCAAGCTCGCATAGACACATTAGCAGCAGAGAGGAACAACCTACCACAAACAACAATCGAATACAAGTTGGAAAAAATGAAGAATGTGCACACAGAAATAAACCAATGAGAAACACACATCAAACAAAGAAACAAATTCAAATGAAAATGTATGCCATCTAGTTTACCCTTTTGATTCCAGAAGTGATTAAAATGTAACTTCTCCCCATAATATCCATACATTACCCAGCAAACAGTTAATGAGGAAACTCAAACTCATCAGGTAGAAGTTCTTATCTATATCTCACACTAAATTCTCTTGACTAACTTACAATGAAATGTGTCGCAGCTGAAGGGGAGAATTAACACCCAAATCTTAGGAGTTAAATGAATCTCAAATACAGAAAAAGGCTATACAAAATGTTCACGCTAATTTTGATAACATACCCTTGTTTCAAAGAATCTCTCAAGAGTACTTAGTTCATCTTTCCAGGAAAATTCTGCTAGAAAGGAAAGTTGTAAGATTAATACAAGTTCGAAAACCGACATGAATATTTCAAAGGGGGTGGAGGGGGGTTACTCATA